CACAACAAGGCACGTTAATTGAGCCAAACATTTGCGTACGCGGTCAACATAATCATTCCGTACATCGGCGCGATGATGATGGAAATTTTCATATTTTTTGCAGCGGCTTTTCTGGCATCGAAGTGGAAGGCAAATCCAACACTTGACAAGCTTATGAATTTTTCATTGGTAAATACTCGGTTTTGTCAATGGGTGAAGAAGATGAAAATGCGTCACAAATCGAATCGAATCAATTCAATAAAGCCAGGTCGGGCCCCGCCCCCAGTAACCCGTGTTAGGGGCTTGGATTGCCATTACCATATGTCATCTGACGAATTCATATTTCGCATGTTTTTGGCATTTAATTGCGCGTATTTGAGTTGTAGTCGTTGCTCTGCCGCAATTTTCAATTAAAATTTATGAATTGAATGGCAAATGGAAGCCTCCGTCGTCGTCGTCGTTGTTGTTGTCGTCGTCGCCCATCTGTGATCTCTGCCCGTTATCCATGTTTCCCTGAGCACGCATAAATTATGGAAATTCATAAATGCCAACAATAACCCGGGCGCAGTCACAAAACACAGCCAAGCCCTGGCACGGGGGAGCTGAAGGCGAATTTTCAAATGCAGCCGACAAATATTTTCGCATAAATATTTGTTTCTGTTATTTGGCATTGTTAAATGCATAAATATTGCGCTGCATTCCAGCGCCCTTTTCTATAGTTATTCTTTCTTTTCGGCAACAATTTTCAATTAACAATTATTTTGTATTCATTGCACCGCTCGGCAAGGGGCAGCCGGGGCAGCTGACACTCGTCTCGCCTCAGACCATTTCATTGACTGTTTTTCGGGGCTGATTTTGACATCAGGCAAATTGAAATGTAATTGTTTTGCCAGCCGTATCTAGCCCCAACCAGAGTCGAATCCGGCGCCAACTCTTTCGCTCTGCCAGTTTATTTAACTGGGTATTCCCCTTGCCAACAGCACTCTCTGTTAATGATGCAGCCACAAAATGCCGTTTGCATATGTTGCCACTCCCACGGGTAAGCGAGTATTGAATCTGGCTCTGGCTCTGACTCTGGCTCTGGCTCCGGCTGACTACCAATGCGGCACCAGTCGGGAGCACATCAAAGCGCTTTTGAAAGTCAAACACACATATGAAAATGCCATAACCAGGGCAACATTAACATATTCATATATTTGCATTGATTGCTTCCAGCCTGGGAATTTGTAGCCCATTAAAAGTTTTCTAATTATGATTTATATATATTAACGCATGGGTATTAATTATAGAACTACAACTTACTTTTTTACAATAGGTATATATATATTATGCGTAAAATAGTCCAAGTCTTACCTGTAAAAGAAAAATAAATAAATTTATTACAAATAAGTCAAGTTATTTCCCATTTATACCAGTACAATGTTCAAAATTTTCTCAGTCAGCGGAATTTAGGCCTTGCAAAAAGTGTATTTTTAGAAATATCATTCAAAGAAAGTTTGATTTTACTTTCCCGCAGTTGTGGTGTTAGGGTGCTCAGACATCCCATAAATTAATTACAGTTACATTTTCAGATTCCTAGCACTGGCAGCTCTGGTAGATCTTTGATCACCAATCAATCAGTCAGTCAGTCAGTCGGTCAGTCAGAGACAGTCAGTTTAATATATGCATATACATTTATAATTCTCTTCTTAATGCCGCAAATATGTGCTTACTGATCAAATATATAGATCAAAAATAAAAACCCACCCACCACAAAAGGTAACCACGCACCCTTGACCTTATCAGATACTATGCGGAGCACCAAAAAGTACACCTAATATCAACAGCTGTTGTTTGTAGTATTTGAAACCCTGCCCCCTGCACCAGTCCCCCGAACTTGCAACGGCGCAGCTGCCTTTGAAAAAAAAAGAATGCATTTAAGCGTCGCACCTAATTTCAATTAAAATGAAAAAGTGAACCCACTTTGAATATGGATAAATGGGCGAAGGTGAAATAAATAAAAATTTGGGTAATTTGTAATTTTTAGGTATTTCGCTAGGCACCGACAAAGTGAAAATGTAGCAATATTTCATCCCGCACACCCCCACACACACACCCACACACACACGCTCAGTGTGGCTTTCAGGTGAGTGCACATTATTCATTACCAAACAACCCCTCTGCGATGCCCAGTATGGTCGGGGTTCTGCTTGGCAAGTCCTGTGCTTAGGCGTGCCGTGTTGATGTGCATGTTATTATCCATTATATGGCTGTAAAAGGGCACCCACCACCCCCACCCCAATGGCACACATACAACTGTGTGTGCTATGCATGTGTGTGTGACTTGGCCCATGGCAGGCTTATTGTTGTTGTATTTTTTCCGGCTTGCTGTTGTTTTCCACGTTGCCTTTTTAAGTATTATTAATTGTCTGCCATGTTTGTTCTTGCCACAGGACATGTGTGTGTGTGTATGTCTGGGTTTGTGGGTGTAGAAAGGGGGCATGGAGTCTGAAGCAGAAGTTGGAGCAGGAAATTGCTGCTACTGCTGTGACTCGTGCATATTTGTCCGCTGTCAGAGAGCATTATGATAAGAATCTAATTTAGAAATTCATATTTTGTTTACCTCTGCGACTCGCACATGTTTTAGTTAGTCCAGCTGTTGGGGTTACAGGCTGAACCTGAAGCTAATCTATATCTATTTTGCTATTTTATGGCTCAGTGAGCTAATTTTGGCTGCTTAATTTGCCAGAAAATCATAGCAGCAGTGGCGCAGGTGAAAGCTGCGCTGGGGGCTCACCTAGGTGATTCTGCCGCTGTTGACCTCCAAATGTCACGGTTCGAGTTTGGATTGAGCTTCAGTTCATTGCAAACATAAAATATAAGACGCAAATCGACTAGTTTCTACGCTCTTAAGCGATTGGAAGCATACTTTTGTATCCCAACAACACCCATTATTAGGCCCAAATCGAACTTAGGCTAAGTCGGATGCCCTTGGGGTGTAAATTGATTTGATTTTGAAAATGCATGCTTCTCTTGTAACTTAAGGCCAATTCGTTCTATTCTTTTCTTTTTTTGCAGCTTGTTCTATGGCCTAGCCTGGACTGGCCAGGTAATAGGCCTATCACCCTTGGCTCACCTGCAATTGCTGTGCAGCCTGTCTGCTCTTTCGACAAATGCAATGTCATGTCCAGTTGGCTGCTTGCCACTAGGCAATGCCACGCCCCCAATGCCAAGTACTACATTCACAAAAATTGAACTTTCAGCCACATTTGCAACATGCAACAAACACAAGACATAAAAAAAAAAAACAAAATGTAATGTCAGAAAAGTGTGCCTCCAGGCTGCATACAAAACAAAAGTACAAATTACACACGAGTCGCATGGAGAGAAGGTTGAGAGAAGACCCGTCCTAATTCTCCCACTCCCTCTCTCTCTCTCTCTCTCTCTTTCTCTCTCTCTCTCGGAGCGATTTACTGGTTCAATTAGCTGGAAACTATGGCCAGCTGTCTGGCCCATAGCTGCAGGCCGGCGACATGCCGATTTTCACAGCACATTTAGAAAAAAGATAGCAAAAGAAAGAAACTGAGTAAGAGAGCGAGAGGGAGAGAGAATGAGATAGGGAGGGAGAGAGATAGTGAGATATCAAATCCCAAAGCACAGATCGAGGGAGCAATTGCACATAATTCGCTTATTTTATGCAGGCAGCAGCTAAGATCACCTAAGATCGGAGCTGAAACCTGTCCATAAGTTAACATGTTTATTTCGGCATTGACATTCGACTGGGGTTCGGTCGACGATGGCTCATAACTTAACTTTCGAATAGCGACAATTAACTAACTCCACGTAGTTATCGCCGACCGCAACTATCGCCAGCCCCCAATCGAATCCGGGCTCTGGAGGTTGTTGTGACATGCTAAGTGAGTCACTTTGTGGGCCCAAATTTACGAGTTCTGATAGAGCAGCTCTTAAGATCCCCCAGCCCTGCTCGGCTGGCTCGTGTCTTAGCTGTTTATTTATGCGATGAGCTTTCAAGCAGTTGTTGACGCATCGATGAGATTGCGGGCTACTCCAAAACCTAATGTCTTCATCGTGCAAGCTGAGCAGCTCGACTGCGGCTCCGCTCACCATATGAATGATCGCGATGTTCGGCTCTTGATTCATAAGCCCAGCCAATAAATACCCAGACAATATGCGACAAAGTGCTAATCAAGTCGCAGTAGTTATCAAAACTCACAGCTTCCAATTTGGGTTAAGCAATTATTAAATTTAGCGCATAGACGAGAATTATAAAACAGTTCGCTTTTAGTATCTCTTGTGTGCACATACTTAGCTTGGGAAGTGCAAGTCATGTTTGCGCAAAGCAGCCAGTGAAGTCGGCCAGAAAGGTATATACACTTCGGCGAGATATACGTGTTTCATCGGCTGTAAATATTCCACTTAAAATTGTGAAAAATTGGCGGAAAACAGTTGTATGAAAGTTCTTTGTTTGACGGCCAGTCATAAATATAATATAAGACTTGGGTTCAAGGTAATACGAATGGATTTAATTGACCATTGGCGGAATATGAGTGGAAAGCTGAGTACTGAAACATCCGTTAATAGATAATAGTTTATTCCAATAGTTGGATGTCATGAATTATTTCCCCCAAGTATGCCCATTTGATGCCTAAGCCTCTGCTTTTTATATACACGCGTATTCATGGTAATTTACAACAGCTGTGATATAACGATAAGCTAATGTTTCAATCTAAGAGAGAGCGAGAGAAAAGAGAGACAGAGAGAGGCTATTGGAGAATATGGAATAACAAACAAAGCGCCAAGCGAATAATGATGCAACGCAGTCGTGCGGTATTATCAATTAGAATGTGCTACACAGAGAGAAAATAATACGTTTATCTATGCCAAACATCTGCGCTAGTCAAGTGGAAAATTCGAAATTAGCTACATTTCTCTCGCTGTGCGGCGGGTCGAGACACTTGGCTATGGAATGCATATGTTACCCGGGCAAGAGAGTCAACGATCAGTCTATTGCGGACAGTTGGTCATGTCGCTTTGGTGGTTCAGTCTCGGGCTGCTGCTCGCTATCTTCGGGCTGCTCTATGCCTGTCTGGAGCGCACGTACAGCTACTGGGCGCGTCGGGGGGTGTTGCATGAGAAACCGGTCTGGTTCTATGGCAACTTGCGCAGTGTGGGCAAGACGACAACGGTGCTGGAGCCGTTCCGCAGATTCTATGAGAAGTATAAGGGACAGGCGCCCTTTGGCGGCTTTTACTTTGCACTGCGTGGCGCGGCCGTGCTGCTGGATCTGGAGCTGGTGAAGCTGGTGATGGTGAAGGAGTTCCATAACTTTGCGCATCGTGGCAACTACTACAATGAGCAGGATGATCCCATTTCGGCACATCTCTTCAATTTGGATGGGCGCGAGTGGCGCGAAATGCGCAACAAGCTGACGCCCACATTCACCTCGCTCAAGATGCACCAAATGCTGCCCACAGTGGTTGAGATAGCCGAGCGCTTCGTGCAGGTGGTGCAGCAAAAGGTTGAGCAGCACCAAGCTGCCGAGGAGTCACCCGTGGAGGTAAAGGATCTGCTGGCACGCTTCACCATCGACATTATCGGCAGCTGCGCCTTCGGCCTGGACTGCAACAGCCTGAACGATCCGAACGTAGAGTTTCGCCGCCTGGGCCAGAAGACCTTCACACAGCGGCGTCATGGCCGGCTGGCCTTTGCCCTCATTCAGGCTTTTCCCCGCCTGGCCAAGCGGCTACACATCAAAATGGTGCAGGACGACGTCAGCGCCTTCTACATGCGCGTCGTCCGCGAGACTCTGGACTATCGCGAGCAGAATGGTGTGCAGCGCAATGATTTCCTCAACCTGCTCATGGAGCTGCGCAACGAGCCGAGTGGCGGGTTGACCTTCAATCAGATTGCTGCACAGGCTTTTGTCTTTTTCCTGGGTGGCTTCGAGACCAGCTCCAGCACCATGGGCTTTGCGCTGCACCTGCTCGCCCTGCACCCAGAGGTGCAGCAGCGCGGCAGGGAGGAAGTGCAGCAGGTGCTCGCCAAGCACGGGCAGCTCAACTATGCGGCCTTGAGGGAGCTCAAGTATATCAAGCAAATCATTTACGGTGAGTCAGGTGCACAGCCGTAATACCCTGCAAAACTCAACCTCACAAACTCCGTGAACTATTTCAGAAACGCTTCGCAAATATTCCATTGCATCCATTCTACTTCGAAAGACCATTGAGGATTTCCCGATTCCGGGCTCAACCTATGTTCTGGAAGCCGGCACACCTGTCGTCATACCAGTCGATGCCATACACCACGATCCGGACATATATCCGGAACCAGACAAATTCGATCCCGATCGCTTTACGCCCGAGGCCATGGAGGCGCGTCCCTCAGCCGCTTGGCTGGGCTTTGGCGCTGGTCCGCGTAATTGCATTGGGCTACGTTTTGGCGAAATGCAAGCTCTGGTGGGTCTGGCTGTGCTGCTAAAGAACTTCAAGTTCTCTCCAGCCAAGGAGACCGAGATACCCTTGCAAATACACAAAACGAGTTTCTTCCTGCAGTCACAGGGCGGCATAGTGCTCAATGTGGAAAAGGTTTAACTGATTTGTGTGTAATATTTTAAGTACTTTTAGACGTGCGCTCAATGTATTTTTTATGATTATTCCCAAACTAATTATCAACAAGGCCAAGCTTGAAATTCGAGCCGCACTAATAATAAATAATATGTTTTAATTTAATAAATTCGACTGCATATTATTTACTATGAAATGTGACAATTCCAAGGCAGGAAATTCACATTTGTAACGCGCTTATCAGCTCTCGATTCGCTACAGTATGAAACAGATGGAATGCTTGTTTTCGTAGTTCTTTGTTTTGTGCTCAAAATGTCAGTCATTGTGATGAAATAATTCGGAAATATTTGGGTTATTCAAAGACTTGAATTTGGGTGTTGACACATCGTTTGGATTTGATTGTTGTTCGCTGGGCGAGAGCTGAGAGCTAACCCAACTTTTAGACTGCCTAACATTAATACTTGAGCAGCTCCTCACCCCTGCCCATTAGCACATCGTGCCACAAGTCAACTAGAACTGTCTTTGTGATAAATAAATTATCACACACTTCAACAGGCAGTCAGCATTAAACTGAAGCATTGCTGTCACCCAGGTAAAGATTGTCATGCATGCAACTTAATTAGTTATGCGATCCATCTAGGGGTTGGGTTGGGTGCGGTGTGGTGTGGTGGGGGGGTGGGCTCTTCCAGTTGCTCATGATTTGTCACACAATAAATTATGCAATTTCACATGCCAAAAATAAAGACACTCGAAGGCGACTTATACAACTGTCGCTATTGTTGCGTGTCTTTGTTCAATCATCATCAACAACAGCCATCCATCCATCCATTCATCCATCCACAGCAACAGCCTTCCATGGGCTTTTGCATGCCATCGAATGGTCGACATCTCACTTGAGCTCCATCTCGCTCTTCCTGCGCATATAAATAAGTAAATAGTTTGTACACAACATTGACTTCCATGTGTGTGTGTGTGTGTATTGTTGTGCTCATGTTGATTGTAATGTTGATGAACCTGAATTATCACATGCCGTTTGATGGACTGCAAACACGCACAAAACTTCGGACACAGAACACAGACTCTATGAACTTGTCCATAACCATAAATATTCGTGCGGAATACGTATTACATAAGTATATATAAATATATATACATATATACATATCTCTAGATACGGCTAGGTATATTTGCTTTCATGATGCTGTTGGCGTCTGTCAAGTTGATAATCTCTTGACACTTTGATGAAATGCCCTCACGCTCTCCATCTCTCTCTCTATCTCTATCTCTCTCTCTCTCTCTGTCTCTCTCTCGCTGGCATTGATAAATCGCCGCAAGTGACAAACAACAGAAGCCCCACGCCGCCGCTAGATGTCGCCACTTTGCGCTTGTCTTATCAATGTAGGCTTCAAATGTTTTCTTTTGGTTTTCATTTTTTTTTTCCCGTTTGTTTTTTCGCTGTTCTACATGTAAACGGCTCGGACATTGATTAATTTCATAGTTAATTTGTCGGCATTAATCAGTATTAACTTAAATGGGCATCAGCACGCCCCGCATTTCAGTTCTTTGACTGCATTAGTCCATAAGCATGGGTATTAACTGACAGCCGGAGTGTTCTTTGTGTTTCCCATTTTTCTGTTTTATGCTTTCTTTTAATTAATTTTTTGCATAAAACTTGACTTAGTTTTCTAGTGTAAGTTAGCTGTTTTTACGCTCATTGAAGCGTGTTTTTCAATTAATTGCTTGGGATTTCCTGCTGTAAGCTAAGGATAATGAAGCAATTAGCTGAATGGTCTGCCTTCATACAACACACAGGTAAGAACAAACGAGCTGTGAGGTGTGTTCAAAGTGAAATAGGTACCTTTTTTGCCCTGCTTTGATTTGTTAACGACTTTAAAGCCAGCTTATGAGCACGTGGATCAACATTCAATGTTCGGCACTTGCCTTAATCATACACTAGCAGTTATTTATTGGCCTTGTTTCCACCCATTTCCCACCCGTGGAAATGTCTCAAATTTAGATGAAATTGAGTTATGACTTAAAGGTAAAAATAAATCTATTCCGTTGATTTCAAGCTCATGGGGAAAACAAACTTTACAACCCTCGACTCATGTAGTGAATTTTGCGAAAAGTGTGAAATGAATGCATGAACAAACAAATTTTGAGCAATGATCTTTAATAATTATTTTTAAGCCGTTCGGATGGTTAAGAACGCACGTTCTACGCTACTTTTCCACACTTTTGGGTGGAATTTTCTAGCTTCCACTTTCCCAGCTCTTTTGGTTTAGTTTTCTGTATATATTGAGATAGAGTTCAGTCTTTCAACTACTTTAAGATATTAGTTAATTGCGCTCGAGCTGCCCAAAACCGCAGGAAACGCACGAAAACTGTGGTAGTTATCAGAAAACACCAAAACACTTGACAACACTGGCTTGCCCACCAGAGTTGCCACAGTGCGTTCCGTTGCTGAGTGACTCTTTGGCAGCACGAATGTTTACACACACGCACACACACAAACGCACGTGCACAGCCAAAAAGCCTTTAAGCACGTTTATGGGTTAAGCAGAGCAAACATGAAAGGAGTACGGACTTCCTTTCAGCTCTCCTAGCTCCCTATCCGTATCCCTATCCCTATCCGTAGATTGTATTTGTTTTCTTTTTACATTCTTTCGTACAAAATGGCGGCTCGGCGCACCTGTCTCCACTTAAGCGTGAGTAATGGGGCGACGGATGGCGAACTAATGCAACACGGCGAATTCAAGTGCCGAACATAACGGTAAACATGCTAAGCGGTTTTGCCATGGCCCGGTGCAAGCGGTGGGGTCGGTAGAGCAAAAAGTCAACGGAAACTGTTTGCGCAAGCCGAAGCCGACAATAGGGGCAGCAATAGAGGAGTAAGAAAAGCACGAGGGGCGGCAGCGGAGGGTGGGCTGGCGGGCAACGAACGATGAACGACGAGCGCTGATAAAAATGCAAACACTTTTAGCGATGACTGCAGTGAAAGTGTCGGAGGGGCGGAGCGGGGGGGTGGGTGCCTTTTTGTCTGCCCAATTGTGGTTTACGAGCTGCTGTCCTGTTCTGTCCTCTCCTGTCCTGGGCGCCTGCCAATTGACGGCTACTTGACATTTGCCCTGCTGTTTACACACTGTGCGCTCCAAGCCAAACACTCAAACACGCCCCTACCCCCTTTTTTTAAACCTACCCCCCGCCACCTACAGGCACATGGCGCAATGAAGCAGAGTAAAGCACACCCAACCCCCTCTGGACAGCAAAAATATTATTTTAGCGTGTGAAAAGTGTAAAGTGCTATAATGTTGGCAAAACATATAACAATTTCCCCCTGACTCGCACATACACACACACTCTCGCGCACACACAGTACTTAATACACTCAATGTTGAGCGGCCGAAGTTAACTTGACTTGACTTGGACTTGGTAACGACAACTTGTCCAACTTCAGCGACAGCTCTACAAATGTTGTTTCTCATTTTGTTTGTTTTAAGCTGATCAAGCTTTGCAACACTTGCAAAGAGTATATATGTACGCATGTATGTTCGTATGTATGTATGTGCACCATCTCTTTATGGTTTCATTCACTTCTTTTACATGTTCACACTCGAGTTGTTTAAGTGCAGTGTTGGAGAGTCGTTAAGTTTGCAGGCATGTTTGTAGAGTTTGAATGCATCACACATATGCTGTTAACACTGTTTGATGAATTGGGAATGACACTTGGCTCAAGCTGTCTGAATTCGAGTTATGCGGTAATAACACTTGCTTAGTTTATGGCTTACTCTCTCATTTTCCAAAATGTTCTTAAATAGCAATTTTAGGTGCTATTTAGTAAAACTAATCATAATTATGAATTTTTCTCTGTTAGAGTCTTTTTTTTTTGCTAATTGACTGATTGATGATCATTGCTCGTCCCAAGGGGAAAAGTGTGCCATAAATTTTAGACAAAAGCTGCTAGTCTTGTAAGTTTTCTGAACTGATTTATACGATAATTTTCTTATATTCTTGATGCACCTCTGGCCACAAAAGACTTCCTCCGGCGTGTGAACTTGTCAAGTCCGATACTTAAAGAGTGAAAATTTTACGATCAATTTCCGTTGCCCGAAACATAACCGAAACATGTTATGAGATCCATAAATAGAGAAACGGCACGGAAATAGTAAACCCATGTAGGCAGCCGCACTAAATATGAACATTAGAAACCATAAATATTAAAACATAAAAAATAGCCATAAAAAAGGCATCCCGTGGACAGCCACAAACCACATTTCCTACAATGTAAATTCAGTGCTGGAAAATTAATTTCTAAACAATGAAACCAGCTGGAGTTCTACGAAGGGAATGCCACCCAAAAACTGTGGAGGAGTCGGAGTCTTACAATTAGTCACAATACACGATCGCTGTGAAGAAATCAGAAAATTTATGGGGACTGTCTGGTCTGGGTGCCTTTATCGAAATGCATTTCCATTTACAAGAACTAATCCGATACCCAAGCTCTGGCTAGTGTATAAAAATCAATGAATAAATAAACAGAACAACGGCATCCCTCCAAATGTGCAGCATTTTCATTGATTTTCATTAGTTTTCTCAGTTAGTCGTTGTTCCCGCGTTGATTTATATTTATTTTGGGTTCGTTGTGTGAATTCTGTCGGCATCAGCGACAGCTAAAAGCTTTGGCGGCACACGTCTGCCTTCCAATCAGGTGCCTTTAGTCGGAAGGGAGCTCGCAGCTATACGTATACGATTTCTTGCAGCTTAATGAGTATGCGCGATAGGCTATAAAATGTATATACAATTTGTAATGCATTTTAAAGTCATCTAGATAAATGTTTGCCCTGTTCCTAGCAGGAGTTAAAAGGAATTCGAAAAAAAACCTTAAAAACAGTACGGAAATACACAAATAACTAATTGTTAAATTTATTTATTTGATAAGAATAAAGTTTAAGTACACCGCGAACATTATCGTTTCTGTTCCACTGTGCCTAATGATAAGATACATTGTTTGAAATGTATATGTATATGTGCACACACAGTCATACGTGTGCTCTATTACGGTTAATCTAAATTTACATTGTTGTTGCATTCCATTTGTGTCTCATAAATATGCGCTTGCAAAATAGAGAACAAGTTTAGCCTGCACTCAGCTAAAATA